TATTGTATTAAATTTTGAGATTAGTAATTTATAATAAATAAATATTGAAAATTATATATTTAGATATTGTTAATCTTTTGTATAGAATAGTTTTATTATTTAGTTGCGATTATAATATAACTTTTATGGTATAAGAAAAATGTAGATAAAATTATATTGTTTTCATATTTTAAATAATGGATTATTAGTAAATTAATTATATTAAATATTGTACTGAAATTTTTATTATATTTATAATTAAATATATTTATTCTAATAATTTGAAATATTTAAAAACTTAAATTTTTATATAAAAATTGAAGATAAATTAATTTAAATTTATATTGTATTTATATTTTTTGAAATTAAAGTATAATAATTAAGATATCCTTATTGATGTATAATTAATATTATATCAAATTATATTATATTTAATTAAGGGATAGGAAATTAAATTATAATAATGAAAATGTAATAATTAAAAAATTTTAACAACCTTTTACTTATTGTATTTATATTTTATAAAATTAAATGATAATAATTAATGTATAACAAATTAACTTTCATAATTTTTAATTAATTATAAAGATGAATTAAATTAGGAAGATTTTTAGTTAGTTAAAAATGTAATTATATATATCATTGTAGCATATGTAATTTTAAAAGGATAAATGCTAATTTTGATTCCTCAATTTTAAGATTTTACATAATTTTTGTCCCTTAACTTTTTTTTGCTCATTTTGGTCCCTCAATTATGAGTAATTTCCATTTTTAGTCCTTTTATCAATGTGCTAAAGAAACTTAATTGACAGAAGAACTAAAAATGTACATTATTCATAGTTGAAGGACCAATATGAGCAAAAAAAAGTTGAGAGATGAAAATTGTGTAAAATCATAAAGTTGATGGACCAAAATTGATATTTATGATTCTAGTGCTTATTATATAATATTAAGATATTATCAAATTTTTAAGGCACATACTACTTAATTATGGGAGAAGATCGGAGTTGGATGTATCGTCGTCGAGATGAAATGGGGTATTGGAACAATGAATTTAATGCTGGGGTTGAGATTTTCTTAGATTTTGCATTCTCACAAACGGGCTCGATGTTTTGTGCAAAGAATATGATTCAGTGTCCGTGTAGTAAGTGCTAGAATAGAGAATGGAATCATCGACGCAAAGTGCAATCTCATCTTATTAAGAACGACTTCATGGATGGGTATTTTATTTGGAAAAGACACGAAGAAATTATTCATAGAAAACGGCGTTGCACCCAAGTGGGTGAATCATCAAGTGCCGCTGCTGCTACTGCTATGAATAATGTTCCAAGTGTCGATCAACTCAGAGACATGCTTCATGATGCCATGGGACCAAATGTTTTTAATAATGAAAATAGTGCCACAGGGGTAGAAAATGCAACACAATTTGATGCTAGTTTTGATGATCCATATGGTATCAGTACATAATCGATATTTGAGGAGCCAAGAGGAGATGCAAAAGAGTTCTTTGATCTTTTGTGAGCAGCTAATACACCTTTTTTTGAAGGGTGTGATGAGGGAGTCATTTTCTTAAAGTGGGTGTGTGAGCTCATGAGTGCAAAAACACTTTTTAACATGAGTGTTACTAATTGGGACTATGTGCTAAAGCGTAGTCTAATGGCCTTCAAAAAAGTTGATAGGGAGAAATTGCCAATAGATTATTATAGTGCCAACAAGATGTTGAGGTGTCTAGGTCTCAAGTATAAAAAGTATGATGTTTGTGTAAAGAATTGCATTTTGTATTATGGAGAATATGAAAGTCAGTGTTATTTACTGTGCTCAGTATGTGAAGAGCCATGATTTAAGCAGTGTGATGTGCATTCTAGTAAGCCTATACCAAGAAAGTCTTTGTGGTATCTTCCAATTGTTCCTAGACTTTAGAGATTGTATATGTCTAGGAAAATTGCCGAGCTTATGACCTGGCATTTAAATTGTTATTGTCACGCCCCAAAACCCGAATTCGAGGCGCGACAGACGCCGTGCACTCGTGAGAAGGTCCCACAAATGCACAAGGCTCGGAACTTATCATACTGTACTCTGATACCACCAAAATCTGAAGATCAAATCTTTAAAATTTTCTCTCATATCATAAAATCTCCAATACAAGATCATGAATTGTTTCTAAAATTCATATCCAATTACAATATGGCTAACCTTCTAACTCGTCACTTCCCGCGGATTCCTCGTCCTCGGTTTCACTTCCTGAAATGGTGGACAAGGAAAAACTATGAGATAAACTCAGTAAGTAAATATGGAGTGCCCCTTATCAAACTTAAAGCATGCCAACAAGTACAATCACGAAAACAGATACAGTACGGGCACGAAATAGACGTCTCCTCTATAGGTCATGGCCAGTGTATAATCCCCACTAGCAGGGCCACGATTTGCTGGTGTATAACCCCCACTAGCTGGGTTGAACGAACCGGCTCTTTCACTAACATGTCGACATGTGCTAGCGTTTATAACCTCCCCCACTAGCAGGGTCACGAATAACATGACCACATCGGAGACAAAACAGGCAGAAGTTAACAGGAAAATCACAATTCACAATCACTTTCAGATCATCATGAAAGTCACTTAAATTTCAAGTAGGCATGCTCAATTTCATGAAAAGCACAAAACATTTCACTTCAAATCAGTCATACTTGTGTAAAACTGGTTTAGTCCCGCCACCACTTCAAAAACAAATCAAAACATGCTTTTAAAATCGAAGGGCATTACCATAATCTACTTACCTCACTCGCATAAAACCGAACACTCAATCTCAGTGCTAACTGACATAACGATCAGGAACCTAATCAAAATATTCAAGGATTAATTCTATACTATCACAAATTCAAGGTAAATTCATCATTAGGATCATTCCTAATCACAATGCTATTTCCATAAATCTCCACATGATCAAATATCCCCAAAATCGTTCTCATATCACAAACTAATCATTTAAATCCCCGTTAATTGTTGGCCCTCGGGGTGTGAACAGTGCCGGTGAACGTAATCACGATGTGAACAGTACTGTGAACAGTAACTGCACTTCCAAAATTGGCCAAAACACTAGCTAATCTCACGGGATTTCACTCCAAAAATCACAGCAGTCAATTAACACTCAATCACATAAATCCCACTTAAATTAATGCTTAAATCTCATCTTAAAGCTACCGAAATTATCCCCATTTTCTGCAAAATTTCGGACACACAAGGCAGCAAACAAAATGGACAATTTAAGCCTTAAAAGGCTGTCACATACCAGAATTTGCAAGCAAAAACCGGACTGCAGGTTGGGGAAGGCCGGCTGCAAGTGCAGGGGGACTCACGGGCTACCCAAAATTCAAGAACCAAAAGCACAAATTAGAGTAACCCAAGTTAGTTTAAGGCTAAAAGGAGGAGACCCATGGCTGTTTCTTACCATAAACTGGAGCAAATCACACCCCTCAAAGCAGGAGCGGCCGGCGGACAGAGCAAAGCAAAGCAGATCCGGATTCTGCAGAGGGGTGGGGGAAATTTCTGGGTTCTACATGTGTTGTAGAGCAAGAAAAGAAGGAGAAATCAAGCTTATCTCACCGGTTTCTCAAAGGCTGGTGCCGGGTTCCCCTTTTTTTTTCCTAAGGTGGCTACAGCGGGAAGAAAGAAGAAAAAGAGCAGAATCGGGCTGAGAAGAAAGAGGAAAAAGGAGAAAAGAAATAAGCCATCATTATCCAAATTCTTTTCCCTTTTTAAGTCCCTCAGCTTTCAAAATATTCACATTAGGTCCCAAAACAATCTTTTCTCACAATCAAGTCCTTAACTTAATGCTAAAATTCCCGAAAATTTGGGATATTACAGTTATAATGAAAATGAGAAAATTTTTCATCCTACATGTGGAAAGGCATGGAAGCATTTTGATAGCACTCACCCTGAGTTTGCTAGTGAACCGAGGAATGTTAGGTTAGGCCTATGCACTGATGGGTTCACTCCTTTTGGACATTCTACATCTCCATACTGTCATTGGCTAGTATTTGTGTCAATTTATAACCTACCTCCAACAATGTGCATGAAGCAAGAATATGTATTCCTTTCATTGATTATCCAAGGTCCCCAAAGTCTTGGAAAGAATATTGATGTAATGCTTTGACCACTAATCGATGATTTAAAGCAGCTTTGGTATTCTATAGTCCAAACTTATGACAGCTTTAAGCGTCAATACTTTCTGATAAGGGCTACACTTATGTGGACCATTAGTGACTTACCTGGGTATGGAATGTTGTCTGGGTGGAGCACACATGGTAAATTAGCTTGTCCCTATTGCATGGAAAATTCGAAGGCCTTTTGATTGGAACATGGTTTGAAGACATCATTTTTTGATTGTTATCGACAGTTTTTGCCACTAGATCATCCATTTAGAAGAAACAAGAATGACTTCATAAAGGGTCGTACAGAGAATGGAACAATGCCAGAGAGATTGTCTGGTGAAGAAATGCATAGTCGCATCCATTGGCTGCTTGATGTACTATTTGGTAAGCCACCTCGGAACAAGGAAATCCACAGATTTGGTGAAGTGCACAATTGGGTTAAAAAGAGCATCTTTTGGGAATTACCATATTGGCACACAAACTTGATTTGACACAATTTAGATGTGATGCACTGTGAGAAAAACTTTTTTGACAATATCCTTCATACAGTAATGGATGACCCTATGACGAAAGATAACATAAATGCAAGACTTGATTTGGAATTGTATTGTAAAAGGAAAAGTTTGCACATACCGAAAACAGGAGTGAATTCGGGTAAAAAGCCAAAGGCCACTTATGTTCTTAGTAGGGATCAAAGAAAATCAATATGTCAGTGGTTAAAGGAATTTAAATTCCCTGATGGATTTGCCTCCAATATATCTCGTTGTGTCAATACACAAGAGGCACGATTATTCAGTATGACAAGTCACGACTATCACATTTTCATGCAAAGCCTTATACCAATTGCATTTTGTGATTTATTACCAAAACAAGTTTGGGAGCCACTTGTTGAGATTAGTGAGTTCTTTAGGACCTTGTGTGCTCTGGTGATTCAGGTCAATAACATGGCAATATGGCAAGAGAGGATAGTGGAAATCATTTGTAAGCTAGATCGAATCTTTCCATCTTCATTCTTTGATGGTATGGAGCATCTTGCAATCCACCTTTCATATGAGACTCGTGTAGGAAGACCGGTGCAATTTCAATGGATGTATCCATTTGAGAGGTAAATATAATTAATGTATAATATATGAAAATAAATATAACTCCATATATGATATTTTGTTGCATTGAGGTTAGAATACCAATTTGGTACTTTAACTTTCAATTTTATATCAAAGCTACCATTGAACTTAAAAAAGAATTCAAAATGGTCCTTTCAAGGACCATTTTGAAACTTTTTTAAAATTTGAGGGTACATTGATATAAACTTAGAAGTTGAGTACCAAATTAGTATTTTAATCATAACAAGTTCTTAGTGAATCAAGCGAATGCATTGTCTTAAGTTGACGGTGAAAAACAAAGCGCGTCCTAGAGCATCCATATGTGAAAGTTACATAATGTCTAAGATCACAAATTGTATCTCTCATTACTTTGATGATGGAGTACATAGTACAGTTGATAATCCCCCTAGGAATATTGTTGTTGGATTTGGTGATAATAGTGGCCTATCCATCTTTAAATGTATTGGAAAACATATTGGTTCCAAAATTGGAAGACGTTGCTTGACGGTAAAGGAACGCAAAGCTACTTCGTATTATGTGTTAATGAATTGTGAAGAATTGTGAGGATGAGTTAGGTGAAAACCTACACTAAAATCTTTAATTTGTTATATTAAGATTTATTGAAATTAAAATACTAATTATATATATATAAAAACTATTATCATATTTTCTAGTTTATTTGAGAGAGAACAATGTCAAAATATGAATTCTCAACAAATTCAAGCAAAACGAGAGAGAGACCTTGTGCTCTGGTTTGAACAAGCTGTGAGTATTTAATAATATGACTATTCAATTCCTTAACATATATATGTTATTTCTCTTCAAATGCATCTAACATTTTCTTCTGCAATTTATATATTTTAAGTAATTAGTGATGAGTTCATTAATGTCCATGAGCATATCAAAGGTTTATCCAGTGGTCCAAAAAATTATGTTTCTTGCTATAATGGATATATTGTCAATGGATTCCGATTTCACACTGCCATCTATGGTAGAAATAAGCGAACAATGAATTATGGTGTCTGTGTTGTCGAATCTATTGGTACTGAATCAGATTATGATTTTTATGGTGTGCTTCAAGAAATAATTCAGATTGAGTATTATGGATCGATCCATCGACAGGCAGTTGTTTTATTCAAATGTAATTGGTACAAGATTCCTCCTACTCAAGGGGTTTAAGTGGAACAAAAACATCAATTGGTTGACATTAATCCTAGAAGATACCTTCGATCTTATAAGCCTTTCATTCTTACTAGTTGGGCAAGGTAGGTTTATTACACACCATACCCATCTATTAATCATGAAAAAGGGGATGGATTGCTGCACTTAAAATTAGAGCTAGGAGTATCATTGAGGCTCCTAAGAATAAAGATGACCAATAAGAAGGATTGACACCATATTTCCAAGACAATGAGCCTCCTATTTCTCAACAAATAAATATTGATGACATTGTTTATGAACCTGTGCAATATTCTGATGGGAGGTTTATTGAAATACATGAAGAAGCTGATGTTGGGGAGGGGATTGGGGAAGAGGATGAAGAAGGAGAATGGGAAGATTTTGAGACATTAGAAGAAGAAAACATAGAAACATATGTTGAGGAAAATGATAGTAGTGATGAGTAGGCAATAATATTGAAACTATTGAAACTTATTATTATATTTATGGTTACTACTTGCTTGTTTGTACTCTTATAATTATATTAGTTGTATTATATGTTATTTAATTTAAAATTGTATAACGTTAATATTACTTTCAAGTTAATATTTACTTATTTATACTTCTATAATTGTATTAGTTGGAATAAAATTTATACATTTATGTTTTTATCATATTATTAATTTTATATTCTTTTGTTAATATTTATATAATTTTTTTATTTATATTAGTTATACTGTTATTGCATTTAAATTACTTGTATTAATGATTTATTTTGCATTTGTTATAATTTTTTTACAGTGGATTGTTGTAGTTCTCGTTGCACGGAGGTTATTGAATCCACCAAACCACTGCAACAGCCAAATCCATTTGACCCCCAGAGACGAGTTCAAGAAAAGGTTCCTATTGATGTGGTTCTGGAGACTCCAGCTTCAGATGTTGATATACAGGCCGAGTCTCTCAATGATGAGGATACACTTGTGGCTACCCCCTAGCAAAGACAGGGATGGGGGCAAACTAACCCCGTGTAGATGCCTATAGATGGGACGAAGATCCCATTAGAGCTAGATGAGTATGGTGGCTTGCCACAACAGGTCAGACGACAAATTGTGGTCCAGTTGTGGGAGAATCTCCCAGATGCTTACATATTGTGGGGACAAGTCCTTCGTGAGCATCGGGACATGTATTGGAATATATTCAGTGTACGCCCTAAACACTTAATTTCTATCTACAAATTAGATATTTTCAATTTCTATCTTCAAATTTTAAGTTATTTGATTTTTTTTTCTTGTTATCATTAATATTTTTGTTATTAAATTATTTATTTATTTATATTTCCATTATTTTCAGTAAACATATGAATGGGATCTTGCGATTGATAAGATTGTAGACGATTTATGGAACGTGACGGCAAGGATCAAGTTCAAGCATGCATTTAGTGAGTTGAAAGCTAAGTGTGCAAAGAGAAACTTTCAAGTTAAGCCTTTAGATATGAATCCAGAGTTATGGGCGAGGCTTGTTCATTTATGGACTGAGGTAATGGAGTAAATTCATGTGTTTATTATTATTTATTTTTAGTTTTCAATTGTAATGTTTAATGTTTTTATCATATTGTTAATTAAGAAAATATATGTGTTCACCACTTTACAAGAGGAGGGTCATTTGAGAAGGCCAAGTTCTGCAAGGGCTAATCGAGCAAAAGGACCAAGGGTGACACATACCAGCGATTCAATGGACGTTAATATTTATAGAAAGAAAATGGTATAAAAGTTAACATATTTTTAATGAATAATTAATGAATTATGATTTATAATTTATTTTATATTGATTTTAATATTTCCTCTTCTTTTTTTTTTCTTTATAGCAACAAGTAAATCCCAAGGGTCGTCCACCAACATTTCCTGAGGTCTACACTAGTAGAAGGCAGCACAAAGGAAAAAAAAAAGACCAACTACCTATATATTGTAATGATGGGGCTCAAGATATTGAAGTAAGTATTTAACTTAACAATTTTACTTTAAACTGTGTAATGAATTAATTAAAATTATTTTGGTTATAATATTGAAACTATTGTACAATATAGTTATTGGTAAAAAGTTAGAACTCCATTCTTTTAAGGGAGAGTAAATTGAATTTAGGTGCCTAAAGTGATATTTTAAATTACACTTTAATTTTCAATATAATTAATTATTTATTTTGTCTTATATTATTTCAGGAAAAATTGACAGCTGAATATGTTGCTAGGCAAGAGGAAGAAGGATTTGACCTTACAATAGCTCATGGTGAGTTATTATTTAGGGCAACTGGTGGGGTCAAGAAAGGATGGCTGAAAGGTTTGGATATTCACACACATCCACAAGATATAGGTGTGAGCACATCTAGATGGGAACCATTCAGGCCACCAATCATAGGACAGTCTAATAAGGTTATCGAATTAGAGCAGACTGTTGAATCATTGAAGGCAGATAATAGTAGTCTTCAACAATCATAGATGACCCTTATGGCAGATAATGAGAGCCTCCGGCAACAACAGTTGACCCTTGCTGCACAGATGCAGTAACTCTACTAGCATTTAGGGATGACCTCAACGGATACCAGTGGGACAGCCACCCTTAAGACACCCGAGATATCTAGGTTTTTCATATTTCAATTAAATATTTGTATTTACTTTATATTTCTAGTAGACATTTGAGACTTATATATTTATAGTAAATTAACAAAATTTTTTAGCATGTATATGATAAATATCATAAATTATGTGAAAATAATTTTACATTATCAAATATGTTAATTTAAATATCAATTAAATCCTTTATATGTAAGAAATATCGAACTAAATGAAATACATAGATCGGTTTCAATTAGTATAACAACCATAATAAACACACAAATGGCTGATTGTCTGTTGGTCCAAACTAGTATATATGGACCAATGCCGATCCGCATATATCAAGGCCAGTAAAGCCAACTGCAAAATTCCCACAACCGGTTCAGTAAAAAAAAATAGAATGTTCAAAGCAATCCAGCACCAGCTGGCTTTCTTTCCCCAACCGGCTCATCTAACCCAAACTAGTATATACAAATCGATACTAGTCCGTATATAACCTATGAAAATCATGGCCAGTTAAGCCGATTGCAAAATTTTTACAACCGACTCAATCCAAAAAAGCAGAATGTTTGAGGCAGTGCAACACTAGCCAGCTCAACCCAAACTAGTATATACGGATCGTTATCAGTCTGTATACACATGGAGACCCAACACAGAGCCTTAGTGGTATATACAGACCGTTATTGATCTGTATATGTCTTTGTTAATATATATACAGACCGGTAACGGTCCATATATACTGGGATAATCAACATGTCGCCCACATATATACGGACCGATACCGATCTTATATATTATGAGGCTGATAGTAAGACCATATATACGGACTGGTTTCAGTCCGTATAGTTTGTTTTCTAGCATTTTTCCTTACTTATATATGGACCGATACTAGTTCGTATTTATATATATATATATATATACGGACGGGTTTTGATTTGACTATATACCTAACAGCAGCTTTTTCATTCGATTCCTTATCTCGTGCTCAAGTCGTTCTACTCTCATTTTAGACCATAACATTACGAATTTTTGCTTGCCAAAGCGGTTAACTTTAACAAAAAAAAAAAAAAAATCAATTTTAGTTGCTTGTGGCTCCAAAAGAACATTACCTAACCTTATATCTAATAACGTTATACTTATACATTCAAGGTTTTACAACGATATTATCCCGTACCATTGTTAGATAATTTCAAGCAAACAATCAATGGTTTTGGGGTTCCAAGGGACTGTGATGTCAATGTACACGTAATTGGTTTTTGTAATAACAGATTTTGGACATGGGAAGATGGTGATGTCCTTAAATGAAAAGAATAAAGAGGTGCACAGTGAGAAGTTTCTAGATTTTTTACAATATATTTGGATCAAAAACGATCTGAAAAATCAAAAGCGTAAAAGCTTTTAGATTCTGCGCCTATATTCTGACCAAAACTGGTCCATATATATCTTTATACCGAATTTAATTTATCTTTATAATTAAAAAACCCATGATAGACATATATACAGACCGATAACGGTCCGTGTATGCTTATGCGACCAGTTTTGGTCCCAATATATACCCTCCTGCAGCTCTTTCATTGTTTTCCTTATCTCATGCTCAATTCGTTATACTCTCATTTTCAATCATAACATTCTGAATGTTTGCGTGCCAAAGTGGTTAACCTTACCCAAAAAAATCAATTTTACTTGCTTATAACTCCGAAATAACATTACCTAACCTTATATCTAATAACCTTATACTTATACATTCATGATTTTGCAACGATACTATCCCGTACAATCATTAGATAATTTCAGGCAGGTAATCAATGGTTTTAGGGTTCTAAGAGACTGTTGTGTCGATGTACATGCAATTGGTTTTCGTAAGAACAAATTTGGGGCACATGAAGGTGGTTATGTCCTTAAATGAAAAGAATAAAAAGATGCACAGGGAGAAGTTTCTGGTTTTTTTGCAATATATTCGGACCAAAAACGGTCTAAAAAAGCAAAAGCCTAGAAGCTTCTAGATGCTGTGCCTATATTTCAACCAAAACTGGTCCGTATACATCTTTATACTAAATTTAATTTATCGTTATAATTAAAAAAAAATCATGATAGACATATATATGAACCGATAACGGTTTGTATATTGTTATACAGACCGGTTTTGGTCCCAATATATACCCACCTGTAGCTTTTTCATTGTTTTCCTTATCTCATACTCAATTCGTTATACTCTCGTTTTCAACCATAACATTCTGAATGTTTGCGTGCCAAATTGGAATGTTTGCATGCCAAAATGGTTAACATTACCCAAAAAAATCAATTTTACTTGCTTGTGGCTCTGAAACAACATTATCTAACCTTATATTTAATAGCCTTATAATTATACATTCATGATTTTGCACCGATACTGTTTCCCGAAAAATCCTCATCCGGCCTTTACCACATGAGTTTGGATCTTAGGCGTGCCACTTGCTTTGTCTAAAAGCAAGAAAACAAGATTTTCTAGACGACCCTTCTCCTTTCCAACGGTCGACCTCCAATGGGATTGCTGGAAAGAACATTTGTGAAATAAATTGTGTCCCAGACAATGTTGCAAAACAGAGGGTGGAGTTCTGCAAAATGGGTTACTAATTGCCTTGGAAACCTTCGAGGACTTTACAACCACAAAAGTGTAATAAAAGCTACAAATCCTAAAATTGACACCGAATCCTAAGGCAACTAATCTAACATGAGATTAATAGAAGAAAACAACATGCCATAAAAATAAAATTCGTAGACAACAGAAAATGTAAAATTACAGACAACGATTTCTACTATGCAATCCATAACAATTAAACTTAATTACTTGCAGATTTAAAATAAAAATAGCTAAACTACTTGATAACTAAAACTGAAGAAGAAACTATGAAATAATTAAAGTTTAGAAACTTATAAATTAAATCTGGAAATTGAAATTAAATAAACTGCATGTCTAGCTATTGTGCTGAAACAAAAGAACAAAGCCAGAAAGCATTCAACCTATTTACATGAACAAATAACATAGCTGAATCCATAAAAGAGAGAAGAACTAACTAAATCAACAGGGCAGACCTGTTTTGAAGGTTGAATTGCTTCCAAATACTTAAAAACTAACCTAAGTTGAAATCTTTGAGGAAAGATATGAACAAGGATGAAAAAACCTGAACTAAGGCTATGAACAAGAGCAAATCTTGCAAACTAATCTGGAAACTATTGTTGAAATCTGGAAAAAGCAGTTTGAAAGTTGAAAAACATGCTCTGAGTAGAGTGTGTGTGTAGGGTAGGCCATCTGGAATTGATCTCTTCCTCCTATTTTTCTTTTCTTCAATGCTGGGAAACCTCCTCCATGTTTCTCAGCCCCCTCCCACCATGATCGAGTAGTGGGGGTTCCATGTCTGGTAGATGTCTGGCAATTGATAGTTTTTACTCAATCTTATCTCCAATAAAACCCTAGAGATAACCTCTTCCTAAAAACTCTCAACTTCCTAATTAAAATCAACTCAAATACCAGAAGTTATTTTATCTTATACCACCTGAAATCCAGCTTCTTTAAAATTCCATCTAGGCCTTTAAATTGTAATCCAACCCAACCCAAATCCAACCAACTAACTTTTCTTGATAATTGGGCTTCAACTTGACACGTGGCCTTCTCTCATTAGTTTATTTTAGGTGTAAATGGATACTATCCCGTACCATCGTTAGATAATTTTAGGCAGGCAATCGATGGTTTTGGGGTTCCAAGAAACTGTAGTGTCGATGTACACGCAATAGGTTTTCGTAAGAATAGATTTGGAGCATAAGAAGATGGTGATATCCTTAAATGAAAAGAATAAAAAGGTGCACATGGAGAAGTTTTTGGAATTTTTGCAACATATTCAAACCAAAAACGGTCTGAAAAAGTGTGAGAGCATATAATATACGTAATTTAATTCATCTTTATAATTAACAAACAATAATAGGCATATATATGGACGGATACCAGTCTGAATATAACCAATTGCTGTTTCAAAGGTTTTGCCTCTAGAAAATTTCATCAAAAATTAAACTTTTTAGGATTGGCGCTTAATTATTTATTTACGGACCATTTTCGGTCATATTTTGCCGCCAAAATTTTGCTGTAAATTAAACTTTTTTGGTAAATTGCAAACTGATGTCGGTCTGAAAATGTTTGCCGCCTAAATTTTTAGCAAAATTGAAGCTCTCCATTGGGCGATTATCTGACACTTATTTGGTATATTCGGACTGGTTTCAGTCTGTATAAAACCTATATATAACTAGCTCCCCCTCATTCCTTTCCTCATTTTTCTGATTTCTCTTCTTCTTCTCTTTCTTTTTCTTCTTCATCTCCTCTGTTTCTGGGTATTCCTTCCTTTTCTTTCTCATTTCCTTTCTTTTTTCTCTATTCCTTTTACTCTTTCTCCTTTTTTTCTTACTCTTCCCCTCTCTTTCCTCTCTTCTTTCTCTACACTTCTTAATATTCCTTTGATTTTTCTTACTCCTCTTACTCTTCCCCTCTCTTTCAC